TAAACCTCCGGGACAATTATAAACTTCACCGGATCGGATTACTACCAGTGTGCAAGGGGTGGCGAGGTAGTTTGCCAGGTCGCTTCAAGGTTTTTCTGAGCCTCAACCTCCTGCTCGCCCCTGGCCGTTTCGAACTGGAAGAGTCTCGTAAAACAGTGTGTTCGTGCAATCACTACTGCGTAATGCAGGTTAAACCCCCCCCCCCCCCCCCCCCCCCCCCAGGGCTGGCGGTCACAATTCTGCACTGGCAAATATTCTAGCACATCCGGGACACTCGTCGTCTCATTTCATTGCCTGACCAACTTCGCAGAATCTAGATATCACACCCTAACTTTTCTAAACTTGATTTTGTGAAAACCAGTGAGTCGTGAAAACGTTATTTGAAACGTAAACTGTGGAAAAACTTGAAAATCGGACTCCGAACTTCGAAAACTTGGATTAGAAAGAAATTCAAAATCTTCTAAATTTTTTTTTTTTTTTTTTTTTAATTTAGCGTTAAAAGAGAATCGAAACCTTCGAACTTTTCGAACTTTATGCGAAAAGAAATTCGAAAACTTCGAATTGTTCGAACTTCACGTCTATAAAAATTCGAAGCGTTCGAAGTTTTCGAATTCTTTTTACAAAGAATTTCGAAATCTTCGAATTTATCGAACCTGAAGTAAAAAAATATTCGAAATATTCGAATTCGAAATTTTAGAAACCGTGAAAGCTTCGAAATGTTCGAATTCGAAACTCCGCTGTGGACAAAAGTTGCGAATTTTTCGAAATCGAACCTCGGTCGGTACGAAAATATCGAAATTTTTCGAAATCGAACCTCAGTTCGCTTCGCAAATATCGAAACCTTTCGAAATCGAACCTAGGGTGGTTCGCGACATCCCTAGTATACACCAAGGTCACGCGTGCACTAGATTTTTCGCAGAAGATCATTGCCAATCTGGTAACGAAATTTGATTTCTTCTACCTTCTTGGACAAAGACATAATAGCGGTTTTAGAAGGATTGAGCGTGCGCATGTCCTGACGAAACCAATTGGTACACGCGCCTAACATCCTCCACAAGTCTTTCAGTCTTCCAAGGATATGATCTGCCTAAACAACTTGACATCGTCGGCATATTGCAAGATGACCGAATTACTAATGATTCAACTCAAATCATTAATAAAAACATTGAAAAAGATCGGCCGAATTATGGAGCCTTGCCGCACGCCCGAAGAAGCATAAGGCCGGGAGTGATGTCCAAAACACGAACAAATTGTGTCTATTAGACAAATAACCTAGAAACAGGGAACAAAGGGAGGTACTCCCGCTGTAGGATTCTAGCGTGTGAGCAAGGAGCGAATGGTCTACCAGATCAAAAGTCTTAGAAAGGTCAAAATGTACAACGTCTACCTGTCCACGTTGACACAGTAGGCGAAACAAAATTCAAACTAGACACCAGATTTGTCTCAACAGACCTTCCATGCATAAAACAGTGTTGTGAAGGGCTTATCTTATGCTTAAAAAAAAGTTTGAATTGCGCTCAAATAAAACATGTTCATATATCTTAGCAAAGGGAGATAGCAACGACACAGGTCTGTAATTTTTTACATCATCCGTTCTGCCATTCTTATGTACTGGCACAGTAATAGAGTTCCATGATGAGTTAACGGCTCCGTGAACCTTATGGATTCGTGACGTGGCCCCGTGGTAGTCGGTTGCTATATGAGGAGAAATTTTGCTCAGTCTAAGTATTACAAAGCGAGAAACGCCCCATCTTTATGAATTGTGGGTTTTCCACAATGCGAAACTACTGGCAATGCATTTGCAGTTCACTTGAACCACAAGGCTTCAATAAGAATTGTCGCCCAATATTTTATTGCATACTGGTAAGAAGGTTTTATTTGTTCAAAACTAAATTATGTGTTGCGCGACGGCAGAACACCATTCTTACCTTGATCTACGAAGCCTTAATGTGTTACAGTGATAAGACGCAACAATTTTTGCTCACCTGATTTTTCTTTTAATCGGTTCTGATCAAAAATCAGTATAGATAATTTCAATTAATGTCCTTGTGGAATAAGAATAAATAAGTATTTATATTTCTTGGCGTATGCACAATTAGATTATCAATGTTTTGTGGTTTCCAAGTTATAGCTTCATTACAAGAGTGCGTTCTGTTTTGTTGTTTGTTTCATTGAATTTTATTATTTATGGTATGTCCCCCTCCTTCGCCCTCAGAAGCCTGGCCCTAAGATCGAACAAATGAAATGAAATTACCCCGCAACTGATCCCAATGAGCGAGAGTTCACAAACACACCACATTTCACTAATGAATAAATACTGCTTCCAAGCCCTGCTTTAGTTCAGCATGGAAGAGGAATACACTTGATTGAATTCTAAGCAGACGAAAGCTTGCAGGTTGTCCCCAGGTGGGTGTCATTCTCAGTCCAGGACGCCACGGTCCAGCGCCGCCAGCCGGGACTGGTCCTCAGGGCTGGAGCTGGTCAGCTGGTCCTCCCACTCACTGCTCCGCAGTTATTCGGGAAATGGGGTGTGTGGAGGTGTTGCGCTTGAACTGTCATACAATATGGTATTGTTTTCGACACCTTACAGTTATTACATTTGTAGTCGTAGTAATCTGGATACATCGCTTGCGAGAAAGTGTTTGTCTGTAGCTCTTTAAGTGTGTCTGTGTCTTGTTTGGGTATATTGAAGTAGGGAGGAGAGTAGATTCTCCTTCGTACTTTGTAATGCGCCAGGATGCCCGTCTATCTTTTCAGAACGCCTTCGTGTGTGTCCCCTGGAGTGTGGTCGCCCGGCGAGGTAGCCCAGAGTACCCGCTGGGGATTCGTGTACCGGCGTCCAGACTATATATATATATATTGCGGGGTCTGATTCTTGCTAACGTTTCGAGGGCAGATGTTGATTTTCGGGTTAGTTGGTAATTACTGCAGATGGCTCGTGAGTCTGTTATGACCGTGATGTATTCTTTGCCCGCCGTCGCTGTGAAAACCATTGCCGTGTCCTTTGCCAAACACGGTCCAGGGTCCCCGCGGAGGCCGCCGCGACTTCTCCCTTGTTGTTTAAAACGCTGATCACGTGTACTTCCTTTCCTTTGTACCGCGCTGCGTCTGTGTAGAAGAGCACGCGCTCGTCGTCTCTATCGTGGGTCTTTCTGAGTGCTTTCACCCTTGCCGTTCTTTCTAGTTGTGTTCTGGATGAATATTGCGAGCAATAGACACTATCGTAACTTTTTCACTTCGTTGTACGTGAATCCTTTGTTTACTTCTCAAATCGTCTTCGAACACGTAGCCCAGTTCTTTTAAGGTTTCCCAGCCTGTCCTGGTGAGCTTGAGTCTTTCGAACTGGCTCGACTTGTGTGCTTTAGATAGCTCTTCCAAAGTGTTGTGAAGTAGTTTCTCTGCGGAGGTTGTTGGGAGAACATCTAAGGCCAGTTTGTATGTCTTGCGAATGAGTGTGTTGAGCTTTTCACTCACGCTGTTTTCGCTGCCTAACAGCGAGCTCTTCGCGCTCGCTATTAGGCATACTTCATTTATTAAAGCAAGCACCCGCGTGAGCGTCACGGCGGTGGCGTCATTGGAGCATCTGATAGAGCTTACCGCGTCGACGAGGGTGACCGCAGCGTTCCCACTTCAGCCCACAGAAAATAACACCGAAGAAACGCTCACAACTGCACGAGTTTACGACGTAACGTGAGTCAGGAGCACACCGTGGTCAGGAGAAAACAGCAAGCGAACGAAGAGAAGCCACCGGCGCCGACAAAGCGCGTAGTCTCGATCGTCGCCAGGGCTCTCCTTTCGACTAAGCGGGAACATTGAACACTCCAACGGATATGGCTGTCGACAGCGGCACGGCGACGCCTTCATTGATATTGGTGCTGCTTTGCCGATTATGTTATTAATGTTCAATCGATACATGCGCATGTAGTAGAGGAGAATTGTTAGTGAGTCTCAGTTGTTCGTTCGACACTTGCGATAACACCCGACAACGATACCTTGCATACGCAAAGGCGAGGGAGGTGTTGTGATCGGAGGTATCTGAAATATCCACTAAAACTCCCTATTATCAGGAACAACATTCAAACACCACTTTTTTTATCACAGTCAGTGGTTGATCAAAGGGGAGACGTTTCATTTCCTAACGCCCCCTGCTCTTAGTGCTTTGCAACTACTTGCGGTTGTTGTGTGCGTTATGTTGCTGTGTGCTTTATGCGCCGTGGTGTGTTTTGTTTTGACGCTTATGGTTTTCACCGTGCTATTTTCTTTTATTATTCTTTTATTGCGTGCTCGTCTTGTCCTATCCTGCTCTGTCGCGCTGACTCTGAAGCTGCCATCCATTAGGGATGCATGCTCTTCCATTGACTTCTTAACCTATCGCTGCGGTATTTTCTACACGCCACCTGCACCAAGATAAATTAATCCTAAATGTTCCGGCCATGATCGTGTTCTTGGTTTGATGTTCTTGTTTTAACTGCGTTTTACGCTAACTAAAAATTGGTTTGCTTCTCGTAGTACCTGCGAATGCAATGCCAGTGTTCAGATGTGCGTGTTCTTTTGTTTTATCATGACGTGTCACTAAGCACGAAATTTGTAGATGAAGAGAATAGTAATTAATTTGCGAATATTAAATTAATTGCTTTTTAATGTTTTTATTCGTTGCTTATATGTTGCTACATGTTTTAGATGACCCGCGTTGAAGCATACGATCTATACGCGTCTGCAAAGGTAAATGTATCCGCCTGAAAAGTTTAATAAATTTTTGTGTTAATTAAAATGTACCGTGTATATGGCCTAAAAATGAAAAGAAGGTGACCATTGATAAATAATATATTAGTGGTTCATTTTATTACATAAAGACTTATTGTTTCTCAAAACTTTATGAATTAAAATCACAGTACTGAAAACGACAAAATGGCATATTTTGACGCTAGAATGGTGTTATGAACACTCAAATCTATACAGCTTAAATATCGCAGCTGTATATGTTACAATATTAGCCTATATAGGGTTGTTGACAGAGGTGTATCTTCAGGTTGAAGTTCTTCAGTGTTTAACTGTTACTCGATAATTCCCAGGAGAGTAACAGCTCGTTTCGTTGTAAAAAGCCTTCGGATATCCACAGTATACGAGAAATACAAACCAGCATTCCTTCAACTCATTGATGGGGTTTGTATTGTTCTTAACAAAGAACTCACAAACTGAAAAAGTAAAAAAAAAAAGTCCATATTAGTCGAATGAATTGCAGGTACAAGGACATGTTTAAAAAAGCATGACATCCTTAAGCGAATTTTTGTAATTAGAATTATATCTTCAAAATGCTCAGCCTCCGCGTTTTGTATACTAACATCGTAGTGATGTAGCTATCCCGTTGCCTCAATGCAAATAGTAATATGAATGTTACTAAGGTTGCCACCATCTGCGCAGGGGCTCGTAGATCGCTCCACCTAAAATTGACGTACCTTGTCACTTGTCTAAACATTTTTGTGGGCAGGACTTACGGAGCTCTTTGATCACGCAACTTTTAAATGGAGCTAAAAAACGTGAGCATGTAATAATATATAAAAATATATTAGATGTTTGAAATTTTGTAAATTGGTCAGGCCTTTAATAGCAATTGACGCTAACCCTACAATTGTAAAATATCACACCATAAAACCAATATTTAAAAGAAGTTAAATGCCGTATTTTTAGCTAATTTCCAGCTTACCACGAAGATTATCCTCTCATTTCATCTCCGCGGAGTCTGATGCATACATGGTGACGACGAAACTTGCCTAGCCTTCACTCCCTCTTTTAAGACGAAATCCGTTCGAACTAAAATCGAACAGCATGAATACAAATTCGAAACGTTAACAAGGCAACTCAATAGATAGCGTCAGTTTGCGAGTGTGTTTCATGGTAGTAGCGGTTAAAAGTAAGTATATGCACTCGATCACACTCAAAGTCAGATGTGAGAGTCAGCTTTTAAGATTAGCTTAACTTTGCTGCCTCAGTTCGTGATACTTCAACATTAGACACATGAATCATGTTTTACCGATTCCTCGAGACTTGTCACCCCTAATTGTACCAAATTCATGTAATTAGAATACATACAAGGAGCCCAATTGGTGTCGACTTTTTTTAATACGTAGCAGTCCTTGAAATTCGATATTAACACCCGCCGCAACCCTATTGAAAAGGAAAAAGAAATCATACATGATTTGTGCAGTAAACATATCAGAACTTCTATAACTTACATATAAAATATTATTGTGTTGTATGTTTGGACAGCCGGATGTTTATCTGCCTGAACAGGTGACTTGTCTCTCAGTTGGGTTAGAAATTTATCCATTTTAGTACATATCTGCTGGCCTGAGGTCTTTAACGAGCACCACGCCGTGGTGATACGACCACACGCCGGTACAATACAGATATACATTGAAACGGGCAGAGTTGGGGATTGAACCCAGTGTCCCTGCCTATTGCAGCGCGGGCTTTCGCTCCACATGCTCCGAGCTACCGTGAGATAACACATTCGGAAACCGATCCCTCTTATGTAAGGCGCATATTAGTTTTATATAAGTTTTATATATATGTTACATTATATGTTCTCGTAATTTAGAGTCGTCCGTATTACTTTTTTTACTACGGGGTTTATGGCGAATCTTATCCCCACCTACTATAAACGGAACGTTAGGAATATCGCATGGAGATTACTGCAAGAATGCAAAAGTCAATTGACGGTTGGAATGAACTGTTTATCGGTTTCTTGGAGAAATATTACGGCTCGTAGCGTTGGCTGCGCTCTCACCCACTTGGAAACAAAGTATAAACCCCTTTTTACATTGTCTTCGCGAAGATTCAGCGGCCATAGCTTGCAACAACGGGTTTCTTTGTGCGAAGCAAGGGGTCCATTATGAAATTACTTAGAAATGTTAAAACGCTAACGATACAAATAAAAAGTGTTTCTGTCTCAATTACAGTGGCGATGTGGGAGGGTTAGTGAATGTTTAAGCAATATATGAAATAGCGCGCTAAACAGCGATGACGGGTAAGAAGATTCAGGGCGGCGAGCACTGAACTGATTACTAAATTTTTATTAAAACGAACCTAGAAATATAAACCTGCAAATCAATTTTGTATCAACACGCATCCAAGCATACGTTCTCTCTATTTTGTGCAGATAAACAAAAGTTTATGTTACGCAGTTGCTTCCCCCTGTTTGTTTAGTCATATGCGTCTCTCAATTAAACACGACATTATTTTATTAAAGTGATAATATTATGGTATAAGGGGAATAGCTTGAGATTTAACTCGCAGCTATCCATCTGACAGGTCACAATATGTAAAAATAAAGAAATTTGAATCTGACCAAGAAAAATAAGGTATGGCGTACCTCAAGCATCAATTCTAGGGCCATTAGTGTTCCTTATTTATATTCATAATATAATAAATATACCTAAAACTCCAGAGATTATACTTTACGCAGATGATACTAATGTGTTTTATACAGATAAAGGTATTTGTGTTATCGAGAGTGCATCAAATGTATGGTTGCGCGAGCTTGAATTCTGGCTTAACTCCAACGAACTAGAACTAAATATTAACAAAACAAAATACGTTATTTTTAAACCTGGTCTTAAGAAACTAGGTAGTAATATTAAAATAACATTTAAAACGTGTAACTGGAGCGAGTAACCTTCCTAAAATTCCTTGGCGTTTTCTTCGAAGAAATACTAAGCTGGACCCACCATATAAACCATGCCCATTCTAAGATATCTCTATCCACAGGCATCATATACGAACTATAGAAGGTCTCCCTAGTTGGCTAAAATGCCAGTTCTACTACAGTCTAATACCATCGCACCTACATTACTGCTTGTTAGTATGGGGAACCACCACTAAAACCAATCTAGATAGGTTATTAGGCATCAGAAAATAGCAGTTCGCTGTATTGGAGGCGCTCACTTCACCGATCATTCAGCTCGATACTTCAAAAAAGTATAAATTTTTGGATATAAAATGCTGTATACGCAAAAACTAGCCATGGAAATATATTATTACTACAACAATGAACAAAATAAATTTTCTGAAACTTATCATACTAAAACAACTCAATACGAGCTGCGGAATAAAACTTACATAAAACTCAAAATACGGACAAATTATGGCTCAGAAGCATTAGCCTACAAAATACCAGAAATCTTACATGGACACCTCTGTGTGGTTGAAATATTTAAATCTCCTACTTCATTACAGCTTGTGATTTCCGTAGAAAAACTGGGACAAATAATTCAATAGGTGTTTCTGAAGGTTCCGGCTAACCAGTTTCTGCCAAGCGCCATTCTCAGCAACAATTGTTTTAAATCGTAGGCCCGTTTTCTGAGTTTTCACCTCTAGGCGACCGATCTTGCTCTTCTTGATGTCTTTCTCTAATGCCGCCAGCTCCAGACCTCTCCACAACTTCAATGCAGCACTCTTGACCTTCTTCGGATAAATATACCTAAGCCAATTTTAAGTTCCCATGAATGGTCGTGCTAAAGTTTAACATGTCCTGGGGAAGCACAACAATCCTTTTCTCGACAGAGCGTTCTTCCCATGTCCTTCTCTCCCGTCTTAGTTGTTGCGCGCTGTTTCATATTGTCATGAATGACAATTGAAGCGATGAAAACTGAAACAAACTACACGTTTAATAGGGCGAACTGGTACCCCCCCAAAACAAAGAACAAAAAAAAAAACAAAAAAAAACAAACGGAAGATCACACTAGCGCGTCGCGATTGTCGATGGCGGGGTAGCAGCAGCGTCGAACGCTGGGGCGAGACTGACCGCGGATCGCCACGCAGAGCCCTTTATGTACACGCGTTGGCTTCTGGAACAATCGGCCTGGTAGGTTCGGCGACTAGAACATTCGGACCTCGAACAAGCAACAGAGTTCTCAAATTTACCAGAACATTAACTGAAAGAATAAATGAAAGGCGAAACTGACAAGAATAAAACCCTGGGCCTCTGCACGAAAATCAAGCGCGGTAACCACTCGACCATGCACGCGCTCGCTCGCCGACGCACGTGGCAATATAACGTTCCTTTCTTTGTTTCTCTCAGTTAAATTTACTGTTAAGAGCCAAGAAATTAATTAGCAGGAACGTATAGTGTTCTGGCTCCGAAATTCGATTTTCTCAAAGCTTTAATTGTTTTCGATTATTCGTCATTCGCAGAAGTCTTTCAGTAAATGGCAGTGGTTGGTTGTTGCAAAAGTATGCGGGAAAGTAGAGGCACGAGATTTGATAATAAAAAACTCGTATTATTTTTGATATTTTACTATAGTCTGATAATATTGTCTATAACTTTGTTTCGAGGGGTTGAAATAGGATATCGAACGATCTTTCGGAATATTATTCCTGACAAGTGACATTACACTCCGCCTTCGTTAAGGTTATAATTTTTTTTTACGCGTAACTAGAACAATTATCTACAAGAGAAAACTGTTTAATGTACTTTAGAACATCTACACGAATACTTAGAAAAAGAAGGTTACCATATTTATCCGGAAGAGAGATTTGGGTTGGCGAAATTGCATTCATGTCCGAATGAAACTTGGATACTCCGTATATGGTTCCGCTTGAAGATTTAAAAAAAAACATAAAAAAAAAACACGAAACATAAGATGAGTGTGGCAAAACTGAGGCAGTGGGAATGCTCTCTTAGGAGTTATTTTTATATTTGAAGGTATTAGTGTTCGATATGTCGTTTTATAATAGGAGCGGCATAATCCTACGTAAGCGCAGTTACGTGGCGAAAGCCAGCACGTCACTAACATTGCATGCACCTGAGTAAACTACTAAGTTGTAACGTCAAAATCTTAAAACTTAAAAATATATAAAGACAGTGATTATTTTTGAATTAGCCCAGCATCACTAAAGGCCGGTTCACACATACAGTGGAGCGCTCAGTTAGCGCTTCATCAGCGCTGGAAGCAGCGCTCATGTGGCACCGACTTGCGCGTGACCTAGCGCTCGGTTAGCGCTTCAAAAGCGCTCCAGTAGGCGCTCATTTAGCGTTACAGAAGCGCTTCAGTTAGAGTGCCTTCATACACACGCGCGCTTTTGCTTGAGTGGTGACATCTCCGCCATTTTTCCGCCCAATCGTTTTTTATGTATTTTGAAATGCGCGCAATCTGGTGTCACTCAGCTCGAGCTCGTAGCTTTGGCTAAGGTATAGACGCCATTTCACCGCCCAAGTCACGCACCGAGTGCGCGAGCCCGTCACGCGCTGGCACATTCAGGGCAACAATGGATGTCTTCACCCTGAGACAGACAGACATGTGGGCACCCTAGCTTCAGTAGGAGCTCGGTTAGCACTTCAGGAGCTCAGTGTAAGCGCTCTCACACTCCTTGTGCCGTGCTTGCTGCTGCAAAACAGCGCGCGCACGGCGATTTCGTTGTTGCTTTTCGTTTGGCATTGAAAGAAGGGGAAGTAAAAGAGCCCCTCTGCAAGAAAAATGTCGGGCAGACAATCCAGAGTCATGGACTTTGAGCGACTAATTGATTGGGTACGATCTCTGCGCTTTCCACTTGATATGCGTGACCCTGGTTTCAAAAACACGCAGTTAAAAATAATCACTTTCGAAAGAGCTCTGTGTCTCGGTCCCTCAGCCTGGGAACATGGTTCGTCGCCGGAGACCCGCTGATATCTCGGTGGCGAAAGATTTCGCGCACCCAGAAGGCTCTTCTGGGCGTTAAGTCGTCTGCGCACATATCCACTTATTGCGTATATAAGAGCATTTGTCGCGTTTCTATTTCAGCGTCCCACATGTCCGCCATGGTACTGTTGATGCACATCCAACCGCAAAAACCGGAACCGCAGTGCACGCGCTCATCCGCAGCACCGCGGTACAAGAAGCGCTAAGGCGCCACTGCAGAGCTAACAAGGCGCTGCGCTACTGGAGCGCTAACAAGGCGCTACTAAAGCACGAATCACGCGGTATATTAGATAGAAGTCACGCATTATAGGAAGCGCCACATGAGCGCTCCTTGGAGCGGTCACGTAGCGCTAAAGGCCAGTTCAGACAGTTGCGTTTGAGTGCGTTTGACTGCGTTGCGTCGAGAACCGAAAGCGAGTCACCGGCACATCTGTCCTTCGTATGAAGCATGGAATCCAATTCAAGGAATCCCCTTGGCACGCGATATAAGCAGCAGGGATGTCCTGGTTTTTCGCTGCCGCAACGCAGTCAAACGCAGTGAAACGCAACTGTCTGAACCAGGCTTAACTTAGCGCTCCGCTGTATGTGCGAACAGGCCTTAAAGCGACATACAAAAGCAACCAACATCGACAAGCCTCAAGCACGTGCTACATGGACACAAAAGTATCTTTGGCTGGCCAGTGGCGTTGCGTGCGAGTATCCTTGAGTCCCACTAGTGTCAGTAAGCTCGTGTACACTGACACGCATTCCAATTGAATATCGCTGCATTGCTCCTTTAAGGGTGAATGATGTATAATTTTCAGTTGTTTTTGTTTACCACTCTATTCTCTGGGAGAACATTTTATTTCTTTCTGAAGAGGTGACTACACCTCGAGCTCAGCTGTGATAGGCGCTCAATGGGCGCGAGAGCACGGGTACCCACAGCTTTGGCTTTTTTGCCAAGAAAAGTTGCCCCCAAGTATATACCTTTCCATGAAAGCCTATAAGGTCGCGTTCATAGTTGTGTTTGTGCGTTACCGACGCGCGCTTTCTGGCTGGCCGCAATAGACCGATCTCACCAGCCAGTATGGCTACGCCACCGCCACCACTATTCATGATGGAAAGTGGAACTTCAGTCTCTTTGCTCGTGCGACGACTTCGCTGGAACTCTGCGCATGCAATGCACGAAATGGCATGAACCGTCTCGTGCGCTGCAGACTGCCTCCTATTGGCCACGTGAGCGATCGAAAGCGTCGTTGTGGTCGACCTGCCACAATTGGCCGAATGCTGACCGTGACGTCAGTAAAGGATAGGCTTATGGACAAAACTAAGAGGAATGTAAGAATTTTAACTTTGACGGTGCTGGCAGCGTTGCTCTGAGAGCGCAATAATTCCGAGCTTCCACCGTGCTAGTTACAAACACCACCGAACTTGTTGTTCGCAAGGTAATGACGTCACGAGAGGGAACCATACGAGGGCACCACCAGAGCCGTATATGTAGAGAGTTTGGTCAATGGGAGGCGCGGGCAGAGTCAGGGCGTGCGGCAGAGTCGGAAAGAGGGCTTGGCATGCTCTCTTGACCAACCAGAAACCGAAAAGAATCCCCTAGCGGTGGTAGCGGCAAACAGTTCTGATCAAAAGTCTATGTTCGTATATGGTTTTAATAAGCGCGTAAGAGTGAAGTGTAGTAACTCTTTGCGGTTGAAAATAGGGTCCACGTGTTGTTTTGATCATGACCATGCAGAAGGATGTAAGAACCGAATGCGCCGCGCAAATCTGTTTTGCGCGGACAGAGTGTGACCGTTCGGACGGCAGATTCCCGGCCCTCGGCGCTTGGCGTAAGGATTATGTCGATCGTTCCGCTAGTCGCACTCTTCCACCATCATTTTGGATTAACGTGATTGAAACATCACGTGTACCATATTTTCAGCCATTGAGAGTTACTTCATTGCAGTTATCAGGTTTGTTTCTCGCGACCACCGCCAGGGTATTATTTCCGGCTTCTGGTTGGTCCCATTCAAATTTTTGAAGACGCCCTGGAACACGCCCAGCCCACTTTCGGCCAATGGCGCCTTCTCATTTGTCTCCTATACTTCCCAACGAATGGCCAAACTCTCTACATTTACGGCTCTGGGCACCACCAAAAACATCTCGCCGCTAATAAACTAAAGTTATGGCAGCGTCACACATCCTCCGAACGTTTGGTAAAATCAGTCTATAGGAAGTATTCACTGGCGGCCATAGCTGTGTGCGCGACTGCTGAGCGCGTGCTGATGGCTAGCTTCCAGGGTTCTTTTGCAACGTGCATTCCACACCGTCAAAATGGCTGGTCTTAGCAGCCTATTAATGAGGGCTCGTTCTGAGCATGCGCTCTAGACAGCACCCACAAATATGGCTCCCAGAGGCGCGTGCAGCGCGTGTTAAAGACTGACGTGGCTATTCCGAGCTTCGTCGCTTTCGCATCTTTGAAAAGAAAATCGGCTTCAACCGACGTCGAAACTACCGTTCCGGGACTCCGACGACCCAAAGCGAAGAAAGGAATCACAGGGAGCCCCAGGCCGGGAGAGATCTCGACACCCGGGCCCACCGATTCAAATGACACCCGGGCGAGGCTTAGCTCACCCGAGCTACGCCTAGGCATGATGTCCGCCTCGGCTCCGATCGCACCTGAGGTGAGTACCTCGCCCCCGACGCCGCAGTCACAAATCGATTCAATGGAAACGAATGAAGTGGTACCGCAAACGGCCGGACCAAGTGTATCGGCAACGTGCTCGACTCCCCAAGCTAGGAACACAGCGTCGGCCCAAAAGAAACCTACCGAAATGTACAAGGTGAACATCCGGCCTCGGGAGCAAATGGACTTTTATCAAGTGACGACGCGGGAGATTGAAACAGCAATCTTTGCAGTCATCTCCGCCACTGCCTACCAAGGGCTAAATCGTCACAAGCCATCGAATTCTGCCACGGCATACGTCTCCACGCTAGAGGACGCCTTCCAGCTAACAAAGTTATTGACTGTTCAACAGCAGGGTAATCGAGCCGTGCAGGTGCAAACGTATCTAGCTTCAGGTCCGAACGTCCATCGGTGTGTAGTGAGAGGCGTTGTACCCGACCACCCTGATCAAGATATTGTACCTGATCTCCGTACACCATCTCACAGAATTCTGGCGGCTCGCCGACTAGGCAAGGGAGACACATACCTCCTAACCGTTCAAGGTGAGCAGCAAATACCTGAAATCATCTATCACCTCGGGGCGATCCTGCGCCCACGAGAATACAAGCCATCTGCGGTTATCTGCTACCGTTGCTGCCAACCAGGACACATGAAGGCCTTCTGTCCTGTACAAACTGTGAACCCTGAATTGGTCAACGCTGACGGCAGCGCGCGCTACCAGTGTGGCTTATGCCGCACTAACGATCACTCAATTGCCTCACCAAAGTGTCCAAGAAAGAAGAAGCTGGCGGATGTTAAATCCCGTAAGACTGACAAGCCCGCTCCTCATACCGGCAAAGCATCGATTTTGACGAAAAATCGATTCCAAGCCCTAGCCGAAGAAGGGGAAGAGGAGGAAAGTGATCACACGGTATCATCAAACGACGGCCTTGGGGCACTACAACCCTCGTACGCAGCGATTGTCAAGGCCACTAGGAAACTTCAGCAACCGCCACGAAAGACGGCCACATCTCAACATTCGTCTCAAGATCTACATGGAGCTTCGCAAGAATCCAGCAGCTGTCATCTACCCAGGGGTGCCAAGAACATGCCGTCTCGTACCCCACGGCGTGGTCAGGAGGCCCGGTCACCCTCAGCGGCAGAAAATGTCAACATTGATGATGTAACCGGTCACTTGCTGTCCGTGGCCAAAGCACTGGACACACTTACAAGTCAAATCGCTGCAATGCAATCCTCCCTAGATGCCGTTCTTATGATCCTGCAGCG